GAAGAATTTCATGAAACAAAATATGAGAAAGAGACTATGGTGATGAAGGAAGAAGTTCAGGCTGCTTTGAAGAAAATAGCAAAAAATAAGGCCCCAGGAATATATGGTATACCAATTGACATATTTCAGCTAATAGATGCTGCCCTGGATGTGCTCTCCACGTTGTGCCAAGAAATCCAGAGAACAACCACTTGGCCAACTGACTAGAAGAGATCTATATTTGTTCCCATCCCAAAAAAAGGTGACCAAACAGAGTGTGGAAACTATAGAACAATATCAATTATTTCACATGCAAGCAAGATCCTACTGAAGCTTATCCAAAAATGACTGGGACAGCACATCAGCAGAGAACTGCCAAAGTCCAGGCTGGATTTAGAAGGGGTTGTGATACTAGGGATTTTGTAGCTGATGTTAGATGAATCTTAGCTGAAAGCAGGGAATACCAGAGGAATGTTTATCTGTGTTTCATTGATTATGCAAAGGCATTTGACTGTATGGATCATAACAAACTGTGGCTGACTCTGAGACTGGGAATCCCAGAACACTTGACTTTGCTAATGTGAAACTTATACTTGGACCAAGAGGCAGTCATCAGAAGAGCAAGGAAACACTGCACGGTTCAAAATTGAGAAGGGCGTACACCAGGGATGTGTCCTATCTCCATAACTTTCCAACCTGTATGCAGAGCAGATTATCCAGGAGGCTGGGCTCTATGAGGAGAACTATGGCATCAGGATTGGTGGAAGATTTATCAACAATCTGCGTTATGCAGATGACACAATCCTGCTTGCTGAAACTGAGGAAGACCTAAAGCGCCTGCTGCAGAGGGTCAAGGACTGCAGCCTCCAATACTGATAGAGGCCCAATGTCAAGAAAACAAAGATTCTCACCACTGGACCAATTGACAGCATCAGGATGAATGGTGAAGAGACTGAGATTGTTCACAGCTTTAGTTTGCTTGGCTCCACAGGCAATACTCTTGGCACCAGCAGCCAGGAAATCAAAAGACGTATTGCGATGGGAAAGTCTGCTTTTAGGCACCTCTCCAAAGTACTGAAGAGCAGTGGTGTCTCTCTGGAGACTAAGGTGCATCTGATACAGCCCATGGTCTTTGCAATCACTTGTTATGCATCAGAGAGTTTGACAATGACTAGGGAGAATAGAAGGAGCTTTTGCCTTTGAGCTGTGGTGCTAGAGAAGAGTATTGAATATACCACGGACTGCTAAGAAAAAAAACCCAGTTTTATCCTGGGGACAGTTAAACTGGGCTGCTTCTTGGAGGCAAGGATCCTGAGGCTTAGTCTGACATACTTTGGGTATGTTGTAAGGAGGGACCAGTCCTTGGAAATGGACATCATGCTTGGGAGGGTGGAGAGATGGTACAGAAGGGGAAGGTCCTTTATTAGGTGGACTGATTCAGTGACTGGGGTAATTGGGATGGGTGTATTGGAGACATTGCGGTTGGCACAGGATAGAGCCGAGTTTAGGGCTGTTGTACATAGGGTCGCTAAGAGTTGCACATAACAACATAACAACATGGCACATAACAACAACAACATACAAGTGATACAACCTTGCCTTCAATATGGATTACATAATCAACATTAGGAAAACAATCTTCGCCACTGGACTGATATGCAACATCATGATAGCTCGAAAGAAAGACTAAAATTGTCAAATTTGATCTTGCTTGAATCTAAAATGAGCACCCTTGGTACTAGCAATCAGGAGATAAAGAGATGTATTGCATTGGCACAGTCTGTTGGCCAGGGACCTCTCCAAAGCCCCGAAGAGCAATGATATATGCTTAAAGACTAAGGCCCTAGCAATTGCACTACTGGGAATATACCCTAAAGAAACCAGAACTGCCACACAGATATATGCATACCCATGTTTACTGCTGCGTTGTTCACAGTAGCAAAGAGATGCAAGCAACCCAAGTGCCCATCAACAAATGAATGGAGAGAGAAGTTTTAGTATATTCACCCAACAGAATATTATGTAGCACTTGAAAACAAAGAACTCACAAAATATTATACAATATGGGTGACCCTGGAGGACATTACGCTGAGTGAAGTACCTCAGTCACAAAAGGACAAACACTGCATAAGACAGGACTGACATGGGCGTTGGGGGAAAATGAAGAAAAGAGAGGATAAATGAAGGAAAGAAGTATCTAAAAGAAATATATGATTAGGTATTATTTGCATGATAACAGCCCAGAATAAGAGGTGCATAGCAAAGGGGGCAGGATGGAGGGAGGAAATTGTGCAACAATGAATGAATGGAAATTTAAGTTTTCTGTAAACTTTCATGAAAATATCAATAAAAATACCCAAAACAACAAAAGCAAGGAAAAAAAAAGACTTAGGTGCGTGTGATTCAAATAATGATTTTCCCAATCATTTGCTATGCCTCTTAGAGCTGGATAATGAATAAAGAGAAGAATTATTGACGCCTTTGAGCTGTGGTGTTGGAGAAGAATATGGACTATCCCATGGACTAAAAAACCAAATATATGTGTCTTGAAGAAGGTTCAACCAGAGTGCTCCTTAGGGGCAATGATACAAATGCTTCATCTCATATACTTTGGGCATGCTGCTAGTAGAGGCTGTTCCTTGGAGTGGTACATCTTCCCAGCATGGAAAGATAGAGGGTCAGAAAACAGAGGAAGACCCTTGATGAGATGGATTGACATAGGATAGTACAGGGTTCAAGTTAGTATGGGTCGTACTCAACTCAATAGCATCTAACAACAGCAGCAGAAGTGAGTCAGACCTGACTGGACTGCTCCTAACAGGGAGAAACATAATCGGCACTACCAGCTCTGCCTTCTCATGCAGAGCTGTTGGTGCAGGAAGACAACAATCCTGGAATCCTATTTGTGAGGATGGTTAGTTCAGGTAGAAGGCTGGGCAGTGGGTCAAGACCCTGGTGAGTTGCAGCTGGAGGCCCCTGGTGGGCAGTGGAGAGTACAGCCAGCAGAGCCTCTACCTGTAAGGACCAGTGTCAAATGTAAGTCTAGATGGGACTCCTTCCTGAGATGCCTCCTTGTCCTTCACACAAAAAACAGGATCAGGCACAATTCCAGTGACTGACTAGATTTAGTTTAGTAATATAAAACTTGGTTTAGAGGTAGGGAAGAACATGAACTATAAATCTTGGTAACTTTATGGTGAGATGTTACTTTTGGTTTTTATTAAACACCTAATTTGATGAGGTCATAAACCTGTGCCTCAGGCCTGCTGCTGTTAGAAAGCCCCTGCTTTCTGGTCTTGACACAAGGCCAGTGGTGGACACAGATGCACCCGCTTTCATCCCTAGCAGCTCACCCAGCTACCTGAGGTCCTCCCTGAATTAGTCCATTTTGAGGCTTATATTGGCTTAAAAAATATTTTTACTTTTAGTTAATTCTCATTGCTTTCATCTAAATCCTATTTGCTCAGCATACACCATCACACCAGCATACACCTGACTCAAGGTGATCCTTGAACTATATTTGTGCTGGCCAGAGTCAAAGGCAGTGAGAAACTTACTTTGCCGATGTTAGTATTGTCCAGGGCTGCATCCACTTCATCTAAGACAAAGAACGGAGCTGGCCGAAAGCTGGGAAAGGACAGGCCCATCAGTTATGTGCACAAGTGGTTTGGCAGGGGGTGTGCAGCATTTCAAGGGAAAGAAGACAGCTTCCTTCTGGGGCTTTGGACTGGTCACCAGTGACCTCAGTGTGCCAGACCAAACACTGAACCTTCTGCCCTAGACTGAGCCCCGGGAGGCACCACCGAGGGGCAGCATCCTCCTCCCCTCACCCCCTGCTCCTCCCAGGCCTCTTCATCTGGAATGTTCTCACGTCCTAGAGCACCCACCTTCCTCTGTCCTGAGTGTCTACCTTGGAGCACATCTGCTCCAGTTCTGCCCCCTTCTCATGAGCTCCCACAATTGTGAAAGTGTGAAGATGCACTGTATCTCCGCTACCTGCAGTTCCTCTCAACTGTCTGTTCTTCCCTGTTCTCCCCACCCCCACCAGCCCAACCTAGCTGCTAGTGCGCCAAGTGGGGAACAGGCCTCCTGTGTGTGTGGGCCCATTAGGTTTCCACCCTGATGCAACACTCATGGCTCATGACCTCACCTGTGCACGGCGAACAGGAGGGCCAGCGCGGCCACACACTTTTCTCCCCCTGACAGATTGTCCATTGGCATAAACCGTTTGCCTGGGGCCACACAATTGTAGCTAATCCCCTCCAAGTAAGGCTCCTCAGGGTTCTCTGGGCTAAGAAATGCCTGAAACAAATGTTATTTATTCAGCAACATCAGAAAAGCAAGCATGACTCTCAACTGTGACATATTTTAATGAAGTACTCTAGGCACTGACAATGTTGATGAAATAGGATGGTGCTTGTAAACACTGAATTGAGTGCATCTCAGTTCCATGGGTTGGGGAGGAGGGAAAACATTCTGTCATGCCTGAGCTTTCTTATCAGACTGCCTGTCATTTCAGTGTCACCAGCAAATATCACTTGCCCTAAGCAGAGCCCCGGTCATTTCACTTACTGGTTCACCCACAGAATTCTTGCAGAAAGCTAACTCTGGGGCAGAGGTGATCCCTGCCCTTCTTTATGTCAATCCTATAGAACACAGTTCTTTACAGTTGATATTGGGTCCCTCAGTCATAAAGGAAGAAGATGTCCACTTTCACCTCCAGGAGCACTGACAGTGGGTGCTGATGGTGATAGGGTAGACTGGCCAGAAAAGAGGCACTCAGGTGAACCTCAGGTCAGCTATTTTCCCAGCATCTTCTACATCACCCTATTTGTACTATGGATTTTATAAACAATTTAGAAAAAATCAAAGTAGGGTCAAGCCACAGAAGTTTAGAACTGAAAAAAATTTGAAATGATCTGGCCCACTCCTTTACCACATGAAATGAGCTTGGAGGGGAACCTGACTTATCTAAGCTGGTGGTCCAGAGGAGAGGGTATGGGGGTGTGTGAGGATGGATGGGGAGGTGGGTCTAGAGCCCAGCTATTCAATAGCTCTAAGGAAACAGCTCTATCTTCAGGCAAGTCCCCCAGAGGGTGGTGACTATAAATGGCGGACACAGCACTCCCCCTGGTGTCTGGGATCTGAGGTGGAAACACGTACTTGGGCACTGGTGTTTCGGCAGAGCTGCTTGTAGATTTGATCAATTGAGATAGACACATGCTCAAAACATTGGCTGAAAAGATCATATCTCCTCCTTTTCACCTGTTCAAACTCTTGCCTACATATTCTGGCTTCCTTTCTGCTGGCCTCAAAAGCTAAGAGAGAAAGCAATGTTCTTACTTTATTTTGAAAACCACTGGAAGGGGTCTCTTATTTAAATTTTAAAGCATAAAATATTTTTAAAGTTAGATTTTCAGTTTGGTTGTACTGCTACTATTATTTGTTTCAAAATCAGTGCTTTCAATTGGTGAGCCCTTTTCAAAGTAGGATCAACATCTAAATAATATTCCAGGTCTATTACTCTGTTTTGGAAAAGTATGAGTATTTTATAAAATGACTAGTACATTTGTTTTTAAATGAAAGTCAGATATTATTAATGAAGCAATTAATGACTACTAAAAAGGAAAGCACAGATGCATTGAGGGCTGGTGGAAAGGGCCAAAAGTGAAATGTGCTGAAAACAGCATGACTGTGGCCTTGTTAACAGAACAGCTAAAGCTGCTTTCACCATCGGTGGACTCCTGAAACTTGTCTCTGATAGTCTTCAAGTTCTCCAGAGCTCGCAGGTTGGGGGCGGCTGTCTTCAGCAAGACATCTTCCAGAGCTGCTACCTGTTGCAGGAGGATGTTGAGCTGGGCTTCAATTTCTTTATCCGACTGCAGAGTCTAGGAGGGGCAAAAAACAACAATGACTTGTGTGTCCTGTGACTTCAAACTGCAGGCAAAGGCCGAGCTCAGCCAGTTATGATTGCTCTGCCCTCAGAGGGCATCTCCTAGTCCACTGTCCCCAACCCCTGCTACAGAAAGCACCCCAAGTCTGACACTCTTGAGGAGCCCAGGGCTGTCCACACTACTCTGTGGAAGCCTACTAAACACAACTGATCTTAACTACCTTCATATGCTCATTCAATCAACAACCCCAGCTTTCCTACTATGTACCAGACAGAAGGACCTGAGGATGAGACGATTGGGTCCCTGCCCTGAGCAGCTCATGTGGAGTACATCACCCGGTAAGCAGGACTACCTTGAGTGTGGAGGGAAAGGAGCACCTGCTTGCCCTCCAGAGTAGGTTACCTTAGGGAGGACTAACTCACCTCCCACATTTACTGACTAACCACTCTTTCCCTGCCTCACTCAGGTATTTTCACAAGCATCAGTAAATCAATTTTCTTTACATCATGTTGTGAAGAATTAGCAAAGTGCATTTACAAAGTATCTGGTGAGGGAGGCGATACTGGTAAACATATGTAAAAGCCATGTATTTTTTGTAAGAAACTTTAGGAGTGGATACACAATGAACACTGCACTGGAACAGGTGAGGGGAAGAATGGTCTGAAAGGAATATATAATTAGGTAGATATTATATGTATAAAAAGTCTGGAACAACACTGCAAAGTGGACTAGGGGAAGGGGAAAGGAGAGAGAGGGAAGAAAAAGTGCAGCAATGAATGAATTTTAAAAAAATCCTATAGCAACTTATAAAGGTGACATGTTAATTCACTGGGACAGTATTATTTGATTAAATGTTAATTGATCAACTGGATAACTTGGGAAGCTCTTTTAAAAAAGATTCATGCCGACTCTCGGCTAGAGCAATGGATCTCTGCGTGGAGTATCTCTGGGAGAAGCTGCCGCGAGAGCTGGAAGTGGAGCACATGGAGGTGGAGGACACAACTCTGAACCATTGCATGTCCAGCTTCCAAGTCCTGGTGATGTCCTCCAAGTTCGACGTGAAGCCGTTGCTCCAGATACACCGGCTGGTGAACGCATGCCTAGCAGAAGAGCTCCCACACATCCATGCCTTTGAACAGAAGGGTCCAAGCAGATATATACACACCCACGTTTATCGACGGCTTTGTTCACAATAGCAAGGAGTTGGAAACAACCTAAGTGCCCATCAACTAATGAATGGATAGAGAAGCTGTGGTATATCCACACAATGGAATACTACGCTGCATTGAAAAACAAACACCTCATGCAATATTATTCAAAATGGGTGACCCTGGAGGACATTATGCTGAGTGAAGTATCTCAGTCACAAAAGGGCAAATACTGCATAGTGTCACTGTTGTAAAGCAGAACTGACCTCGGGGTTGGGAGGAGACTGAGAAAGATGGGTTAAAAAAAAAGATGGGTTCAATAATGTATACTGCATTTAACAGATGAAGGAAAAAACTGTTTAAAAGGGATATGTGATTAGGTATTTTTGTCATGACCGGAGTCCAGAGCGAAGGCTGCATAGTGGAGTGGACCTGGGGGAAGGGATTGTAAAGCAATGAAAGCATTTTTCTTTTGCTTTTCAAAGAGGGGAGTGTACTGGGGGGGAGGGTTAGGAGGGGGGGAAAGTGCAACAATGAATGAATGAAAAAAAAAAAAGAGAGACTCTGACCCCTGAGCAGTGGAACCATGAGCAGCAGAAATGAGGGACTTAGAACTGGACAGCCATTAAACCATGAATCAGGAAAAAAAAAATTCTTGCCACACACCAAAATCCATCTCAGATGAATTAAACTGGTAAAGAGAAAAGAAAATCATAAAACAGCAAAAGGTAAACATTACTAACTAAATGTCCACCTGGTAATGATGTAGGATGAACTATCTATGAAAATAAAGAGAAATCACGAAACCAAAGATTACAGAGAAGCCAAATAAGACATGTTTTCACCTAGAAATCACTAATAAAAGATGACAGAAAAGCCAGGAAGGTAGATAAACGGATAAATTAAAAAGCTGCTTTCTGATGCCAAGAGTAACTACAAATGCAGCCAAAGAGCCTAACTGAGGAAAATATATTAAACCCGGAAATAACCAGATGAGGTGGAGACTGCCTCCCAACACTCAGGCACCATTTCTTCCTTCCTAAAACTCACTTGTGCCCTGGGGGTGGTCGGCTGAGTCCAAGTCGACCTTCATGATCTAGGCACGAGGGCTCAGGAGTAGACAGGAAACTCAGTTTGAGCCATTAAGAAGTTGTTGGTAGGTACCGTCAGGTGAATACCATTCATAGTGACCCTGTGAACAACAGATCTGAATTCTCTGCCGTCCTCATCATTTCTGACAAACTTGAGCCCATTGTTGCAGTCACTGTCAATTTAACTGGTTGAGGGTCTTCCTCTCTTTAGCAGACCCTCCACCTTTCTAAGCATGATATCCTTTTCTAAGGAATAGCACTTCCTAACAATGTGCCCCAAAGTAGGTGAGACAAATCTTTGTCTCCACGGAGCATTCTGGTTGCACACTCTCCAAGACATTACCTGTTTGTTCCATTAGCAGTCCAGGGGATATTTTGTACTCTTCAATACCACAGCTCAAAGACATCAATTTTTCTTCTGTGATCCTTATTGTCTACTCTCAAATGCATAGCAAGTGAAATGAAAAGACTATGGCCTGAATGAGGCTTACTTGGTCTTCAAACAGACATCACTGCTCCTCAGTAATTTGGAGAGGTCTCTGATAGCAGACTTTCCTAGTGTAATATGTCTCATGATCTCCTGACTGCTGGTACCAACGGTGTCGACTGTAGACCCAAGGAAGATGCAATCTTTGACAATTTTAATCTTTTCTCCCTCTAAAAGGATATTGCAGGGACCAGCTTTAGGCAAAGACTCTCTCTCACTGGTTGTGGTAGCAGGTTTGTGCCTCTTTAAACATCTTTAGAGATGTCCTTATGTCTCAGCATTGACCTTACCCCATCCCCTTGCTGCTGACTTGGGTAATCTCTTGCATATGTCAAGAGAGGATCTGGAGACACTGCAAGAAACCTGCCTTATTAGCTTAACAAAGACAGCCCATTCCCAAATGGGACAGGCACAGAACCTAGGATGGACAAGATGTATCTGATGGGACAGAATTAAATCACTAACAGAAACAAATATATAGAAACACATATTACTGGGGCATGAATGCCTGACCACAGTCAGGGCTGCCTGTGTCTATACGGGGAGGCTCCATCATTCCAGGAAGAAGGTCTCTGTCACCCAGACCATGCACTGGGGCCAGTAAGCCAAGATGAAGAGTACTGGCTACTTGTGTTTATTGCAGGACTTCTCAGTGTGAAATCTCAGACAGGAAAGAGATTTTCAACATGAGTTGGCCACAGAAACACACATCTTAGTCAAGATATTTCATGGCATTAGTGTTCCACACAAGGTGTTCCAGTGGTTAAGGAATTGGCCTGCCAACCCAAAGACGAATGGTTCAAGTCCAACAGCTGCTCCATGGGAGAAAGTTGGGAAATCTCCTATGCAATGTATGGCCTCTGAAAATCCACTAGAAGGTCAGATATGAGTCAGTTACCATTTGACAGCAATAAGCTTGAGCTTGTGTGTGCCATAGAACACTTGGTGATTAACACAAACAGAAGCAGCCTATTGACTGCTATTTGCTCAAAACTATTAGGAAATCTACTTTAAATAGAAAAATCTACACTGCTATACTATGTAAATAATTTTTCCCCTAGGATTTCCATATTTGGCATTATGTGAGTTAGTTATAAGCAGTCTTTCCCGTACCTTCAAATCCTCCCCCAGGGAGCTGTAGTCCACTTCAATGGCTGCTTCTTTTTCATATATGTCAGGAGTGACTTGGGTCTGTTCTCCTTCTGTTCCCAACTGAAAGATAAAAAAAGCCCTTTCCTTGTTATTGGACATGTCCATCATGAATCCTATACAGGCTCCCCTCTTTCAGCTGCTGGCCACTCACTCAGGCCACAGTGGAGGCCAGGCTATGTGCCCATAAGTCTGGTCCCTTCACCTTTCCACCTTCATTTTGTGCTGGCTTACAATTACTCTGCTCAGGTCACCTGGGCTTCTTGGACACAGCAGGATCATGGCCATTGCTGGGCTGGGCCCCTGCCCTCAGCTCACATCTCTTCTCACCCTGGACAACCCTGGCCTCTGTCTGAGCCTGCACACTCCCTTCCCAGCTCTAGGGCATCAGAAGGCTTCATTGCTCACGTATTTAGTTTATCATTGTCGTTGTCCACCTGCTTCACCAACACCTAGATGTGGGGTAGGGGTTTTGTATGGTTGTACTCCCTGCTGTATTCTCAGTGCCTAAATGCCTGGCCATAAGGCATTACTTAGAGATAGAGCGGGTTTAGTTCCAGACCACCACAGCAAGGCAAATATCGAAACAAAGGGGCTCTGATGGCATAGACTGCATGGAGTTGTGCTGCTAACCCAAAGCCAAGCTGCTCTGGTGGCATAAATCCACTACCGGCTCTACAGGAGGAAGAGGGGCTATCTCCTACCCATGCCATTTTACAACCCCAGCAACCCAGTGGACAGAGCTAGGAGTTGATTCTGACTTCATTTTGCATTTGGTTTCTTTCATCATAAAGAAGTCTAACGAAGGTTTTGGCTTCCTAGTGTATACTGATCGTGATCTCCTTCTCCTAGGAACAGCCTCTCCTAGCAACAAGTCCAATACGTGAGATGAAGCATCTTTGTCTCCAAGGAACATTCTAGCTGTATTTTCTCCAAGACATACCTGTTTGTTCTTTTGGCAGTTTATGCTTGGAAAAGTGGAGAGTAGGAAAAAGAAAGGATGACAAGATGGGTTAACACAGTGATTTTAACAATGGTCTCGTGTACCAGAGATATACTTGAAGATGGACAGGATAGCACAGGGTTCAGATCTGTTTAAAGGGTGATTATGAATTGTAGTTGACTTGATGGCACATAATAATGACAACAGTGCATACAGAAGTTATGTTTACATTATAGTATATTAAATATGCATTAGCATTATAAAAAAGTTTTAAATATTCTGAGAATGAACAAAATGGCACAAAGTTAAAACATGCTGTGGAAAAATAGCTTTGAAAGACTTTCTGGATGTTGAGTTGCCACAAACCTTCAACTTGTAAAAAAGGAAGCATTTTGTGAAACACAACAAAGTGAAATGCAGTAAAAGTAGGTGTGCCTATGCATTTCCACCCCAGTGTATATTACTCTCCCCGAAAAATAGAGAACGCACTAATCCTTGGGTACTGAGCTTTCATGTACTGTGGACTGTGATGTGGATACTGAAATCAACCTAGAATTAGACTCAAAAGGAAAGAAGCAGAGGAAGGAAACCTTGTCATTATTTACCTTCTCTGCGATGGAACAGATGAAGAAAAGAACTGTTTAAAAGGAATACAGGAGAAAGAATTATTTGTATGACAATAGTTCAGAGTAAGAAGTACACAGCAAAGTGGACTAGGGGAGGTATAGGGGAGGATGAAATTATGCAACAATGAATTAATTTTTTTAAATTTATTATTAATTTCAATGAAAATTTACAGACACTTTGGATTTCCATTCATTCATTGTTGCACTTTTCTCCCCTCCCAACCTTTCCCTCTAGTACACTACCCTTTTGGAAAAGTAAAATTCTTTAATTGTTTTACAATCCCTGCCCCCAGGTCCACTCCACTATGCAGCCTTCGCACTGGACTCCTGTCATGACAAAAATCCCTAATAATTTTCTCTCTTAAACAGTTTTCTCCCTCATCTGTTAAATGCAGTATACATTATTGAACCCATCTTTTTTTTAACCCATCTTTCTCAGTCTCCTCCCAACCCCGAGGTCAGTTCTGCTTTACAACAGTGGCACCATGCAGTATTTGTCCTTTTGTGACTGAGATACTTCACTCAGCATAGTGTCCTCCAGGGTCACCCATTTTGAATAATATTGCATGAGTTGCTTGTTTTTCAATGCAGCACAGTATTCCATTGTGTGAATATACCACAGCTTCTCTATCCAACGAATGAATTTTTTTAAAGTGAACTGAGGGGGTAGGTAGAAAAATATGCAACAATGAACGAGTGAAAATCCAACTTTTCTGTAAACTTTCATTAAAATAACAATTAAAAAACACCACAAAAAACCCTTATCACTTGCTCCTTTCTCAGATATTCTCAGATGAAATACATGTTCAGTCTAACTACTTATTTGCAATGAGGACTGCTTCTATTACCCTTTGATGCAAAGAACCAGGAGATGCTCCTTTATCTATTTCAAGAGCGTGATTGTCATCCCTACTCACTCTCCATGTGACATGGTTTGACTTCCTGCATGACCCTGGGAGTTCTCCTCTTAAACAGTATTAACCTTAGAAAAGTGACTTCACTATCTCAGTGTGGCCTGCTCAGCACAAGAGACACATTTCACTGAGGCTGACGTCTAAGCCCAATGTTCACAACTTCAATTCTGAATTCTTTTGGGCATTAAAAAAACTATAGATTCCTTTCACTATCCAAAAGCAGAGGTGCTGTTTGTTGTTGCATACCACTGCGATGGAACGGACTCACAGCTGACCCTTCAAGCAAGTTTTCAGAGGGAGTAAATCGCACAAGAGAAGATTGCCCATCCTTCTCCAATAAAATAGCTGGTAGATTTGAACCACATGCATTTGGGATTGCAGTGCAGCTATTTACAGCTCTGGTGGCTTAGTGGTAAGGCATCATCCTGCCTACCCAAAGGCAGCTGGTTTGAATCCACCAGCTGTTCTATGGGCAATATCCTCCCATGCTATTCACTGCCTCCGAAAATCCACTGTTATGAGTCAGTTCCAACTTGATGGTTGTTGTTAGATGGCATCGAATCAAGTACAACCTATAGCAACCCTATGGACAACAGATCTGAACCCTCTTCCATCCTATGCCATCTTCATCATCTATATCTACTCAAGCCCACTGAGGTGGTCACTGTCAATCCACCTGGCTGAAGGTCTAGAAAGGAGAGTGGTCCTATGAAATAGTTGGTAAGTCAAAATGGTGCTAAGAAAAGGAGCAACCACCATTAACATATAGGGGGAAAATATTTAAACATTCTTAGACAATAAAGTAGGACAGGGTTCATATCTGTTGTTCAAAGGATCATTATGAGTTGTATTCAATTCAATGACACCTAACAACAAAAAATTAATGGACACAAAATTGCTGTTTGTTATGTATATGGAAGCTGAACTTGAACCAGTGTTCATGAGCTTTGGGAGCCTAGGGTAAGAAACTGCACTATAATCCCAAAGGTACATGGTTCAAATTCGCCAGTTGCTCTGCGGGAGAAAGATGGGCAATCTCCTATAATGCAATTTACTACCTCTGAAAGCTTACTGCAGGGTCAGCTATGAAAGCTTACTGCAGGGTCAGCTATGGGTTGGTTCACACTTGGCATTTAACAACAACATATACAAAAAGTAAATTATTGAACCATATCCATAACACACAAAAGCAGGAATGATAGAACTACACAATCTATATGAAGCAGAAATAACGTTATCTATATTGTGGTTCCCAGGAGAGGTGTTTGGGGACATCATTTTTACTGCTTGGGATATACACAGCTTCTTCAACGGATAGCTGTAAAAGACTGGTTTTGCTTTTCACCTTTCTTCATAAAAGCAAAAATTCTCTTTGGATTTCGTTCAATTAATTGTTCCTAATGGAGGCCTTTTGTGCAAATTCGGTAGTATAAGTGGGCTTTTGAGACGAAGTGACACCTGTCTGTCCTGTGAAGCTGCGAGGAGAGGACTCACAAGAGAGGAGAGAGTGAGGTGAACACTGGCTCTGCAGAGTGCTGAGCCACAGGGATAAGGACAAGAAGCCAGCAAGCACCCCCGGAAGTCGCACAGTGCACAGATGTCAAGGCCACCTACTAGAATACCTCGACTTCAACGATGTCATCCAGGGACCCCAGCAGAAGAGTGATCTCAATGTCTTTAACTTTGCAATCAAGCAGCATATTGTGTTTCTCCAACTGTTTCTGTTCCAGAAATGTTTGAATCTTTACAAATTCTTTTTGTGATTTTCCCACTTCCCTATGAATACACAGATAAGAAAAATTGATATTTAATTATGTAAAGTGGCAATTAAGGAAGAAAAATATACATGTTATAAATTAACATGAAAAAAGATATTTTCCTCTTTAAGAGATACCACTTCTGAGTTATTTCATTGATGCTTGTAATTTTAACTTACCACTCCTGAGGAAGGCCTTGAATAATGAGTTAAATATGAGGCAGTATTTTCAATGAAAATATTACCACTCTTATTAGGGAGCTCTGATAAGGAATAGTGCTGCCAAGCCAAAGACAAGGGGTTTGAATCAACCAATTTCTCTGCATGTGAAAGACTGGAAATTTCCTTTCATATGATAGACATTCTCTGAAAATGTGTTGGAGGATCAGCTATGAGTCAGTTCTGACTTAACAGTACACAACAACACTTGTAAATCTGTTTAATTTTTGAAGCTTTATTTCCTCCTCAAATAAAAGTTTTCTGTTTTAGAACCTAAAAGCCAGAGAGACATTCTCTTAATAGGAAAAACTGCCTTCTCAAGTAAAAATCTGCATTTTTCTCTACCACTACTATATATGTTTTCTATTTTAAAATGGAGGGCAAGTGTTAGCAATTCAAACATGAGATTTGCTTTATTCACTTTTTTTCTCTTTTTAAAATTAATTTTAATGAAAGTTTACAGAGACTTTGGATTTCCATTCATTCACTGTTGCACTTTTCTCCCTGCCTATCCCTCCCTCCCAGTTTATTCATGTCTTTGAAAAGTTCTTTCATTGTTTTACAATCCCTCCCCCTCAAGGTCCACTCCACTACGCAGGCTTTGCTCTGGACTCCTGTCACGACAATAATACCTAATCATATATCCCTTTTAAACAGTTCTCTGTCTCATCTGCTTCAATGCAGTATACCTAACTCATCTGATCTTTCTCAGTCTTTCCCCAATGCCGACGTTAGTCACGTTTTACAACAGTGGCACCATGCAGTATTTGTCCTTTTGTGACTGAGATACTTCACTCAGCATAATGTCCTCCAGGGTCACCCATTTTGTTTAATATTTCATGAGTTCCTTGTTTTTCAATGCAGCATAGTGTTCCAGTGTGTGAATATACCACAGCTTCTCTATACATTTGTTGGGTAATAGGCACTTAGGTTGTTTCCAACTCTTCATTACTGTGAACAAAGCCGTGATAAACACAGGTGTGCATATATATGCTTGGGTGGCAGTTATGCTTTCTTTGGTGTATATCACCAGTAGTGAAATTTCTGGGTCAAATGGTATTTTTTTGCAACTTTTTGATAAAGCACCATATAGCCTTCTATAGTGGGTGAACCATTTTACACTCCCACCAACAGTAAATAAGGGTTCCAGTTTCTCTACAATCTTGCCAGCATTTGTTGTTCTGTTAAATTTTGCTATTCTGACTGGGATGAGATGATTATCTCACAGTTGTTTAGATTTGCATTTCTCTTAGAGCTAGGGATTTTGAACATTTCTTCATGTGTTTGTTTGCCCTCTCAATATCTTCTTTGCTGAAGTGTCTGTTCATATCCTGTGCCTATTTTTCAACTGGATTGTTTATCTTTATCTTGCTGTGGTGAGAGATTTTATTCACTGACTTCTTATTGTATTTTGAGTACAATGTAGGATTTTAGAAAATTTAGAAATTGCATTGAAAAATTAAGAACCATATTATTTTAAAAATACGAAAATGAGAAAAATGGTTCTGTTCAAACTAAATTTAAAAACTTAATAAAAATCAAAAGTAAAAAGATTTAAATTCTACTTTAAAATCACTAAGACCTTTTTAGTTGTATCCTGAAACAATGAACGAACATCTGCAAACATGTATGGAAAATGGTGACAGGTGCAGAGCTGGATGAAAACAGAACTCTATAATCGTCAGACCATATAAGGCCATCCCGATCACAAAGGAGATGTCATGAGTTATTATATGGCAGCTGATTCTAAGTAAATGTTATGGAGTTGTCACTGTTATATTTGCTAGTTTATGGACCAGGAAACAGTTCTCAGAGCAGAAAAGGAAAACACTCACTATATGTTTCAACATGAGGAAAGGAATGCACCAGGATGCATCCTGTCTCCATACCTTTTCAAGCTATATGCCGGACAAGATCATTTGGGAAGGTAGGCTTCATGAGGAGGAATGTGGCATCAGGGTGGAGGAAGATTCAAGAACCTATTTGCTGAAACTGAGGAGGACCTGAAGTGGTTACTGCAGAAGGTCAAGGACTGTAGTCTCCAATATGAATTGAAGCTTAATATCAAGATGACAAAGATCCTCAGCAACTGGGCCAATTGCCAGCACCATGATGGATGGAGAAGAGGTTAAGACTTATGGCTTGCTCAACTCCACAATCAACTTTTGGCACCAGCAATCAGGAAATCAAACAATGAATTGCTCTGGGAAAAATCTGTTATCAGGAAACTCTCCAGAATACTGAGAAGCATCGATGTAGTCTAGACACTAAGATGCACGTGATTCAGTCCATAATCTTCACAATTACTTGCTATGCATCAGAGAACTGGCCAATGACAAAGGATGACATAAGAATTGATACCTTTGAATTGTGGTGCTGGAGAAGAGTCTCGAACATCCCATGGACTGCGAAGAAAATAAACGGGTCTGTCTTGGGGAAGGTAAAAACCAAGTTCCCCCTTGGAAACTAGGATTTTAAAGCTCCATCTCACATACTCTGGGCATGTGGCCTAGAGGGACTGATCCTTGGAGAAGGACATCATGCTAGGAAGGGTGGCGAGAAATCAGAGGAGATAAAGACCCCAGATGAGATGGACTGATACAGTAACTGGAGCAATTATTTTTTTTCTTCTGTCATCCTTATTCACTGACCAACTTTCAGATGCAGAGCAATTAATTAAAAAGACCATGAGCTTGGATCAAATGCACCTTAGGTTTTAAAATGACATTGTCGCTCTTTAGCACTTTAGAGTGGTCCTTGACAGATTCTCCCAATGCAAGCCCATAAATTAGGACTCCTACTTTCCCCGTGGTACTAGGGATACTGTACTAGAGATATTGTAGCTGATGTTAGATGGATCTTGGCTGAAAGCAGGGAATACCAGAGGAATGTCTATCTGTGCTTCATTGACTATGCAAAGG